AGGATATTAAATCTGCAAACTCAATTGATGATTTTAAACGCCAACTTAAAACATTTCTTTTTATGCGAGCTTATGAATCGTGATGTTTTTATTTGTTGGATTTTTTATCTATTGTGTACATTTATCTATTTTGTAGTTAGCGTCTAGTTTTAATGTCAATTTCTTGTGATTATTTTTACTTTTTAGTTTTATCTAATTTTTGTAAACAGCGCCTTTGAATCTTGTAGAAAAGGCGCCATATAAATGGATTATTATTATTATTATTATTATTATTCCACAAGCAGAATTTCCCCGGATTTCCGATTCCACTAGCAAAAATTTCCGCGGATTCCGGAATCCAGATTCTCTTACAATGGGATAGAATAAATGTTTGTGTCAATCAGTACTGCAATGCCAGTTTGCATCGTTTTTAACCGCGGTGCGCTGCTCCCGATTCAAAAATAAATGATATGGGAATATATGAGCTATTTTGCTTCAGAGCTCAGGTAGAACTGTCGAGTACCTTTGTTTACGACTACAAAATGAGCACAGGCTGCAGTTCTGCCTTCTGCCAGGAATTCTCACCTCAGCAGGGAGGACGCACGACAATGATGCACATGCCTGCGAACCGAACTATATCACAAGCAGAAAAAAAGTATCGAGAAAAATACTACCCGTATATAAATCTATAACTCTGTAAAAATGTTGTGACTTCTTTCCTTCAATAACCAAATAGTATTTTTCTTCATTATTATACATTTTGCTTTGCGATATAGAGATCCTCAAATTGTTTTTAGTGTATGAAGAGCTATGAGGGCAACTAGAGGGTTTGTTGTCAATATGTATACATTTTACGTTCCCAAAACGTAAATTGGTTAATAAGTTGAGGTAAGCTTCTTACTGGACACTATTATACATTAAAAAACACTTTTGTTTTGTTCTTGTTGTTGTTGTTTTTTTATTTTCACGAATAAAAAGTCCCAAACAGGTGAATTATAAGCCCTGGCCTACCGCTGGCCTAAGGCTATGTTCTTGATACCATTCAAAAACCTCAACCGTCAACTATCTCACTATTTGCACCTTTTTAGTGGTCCAAATCACCACCTTCTCTAGGGAGAGTTAACAAATAAGAAAAAAAACTTACCCTTCAAGGGATAGCGAATTGGGAAGGGTGTCCCTGATCGACGTGGGATGACAAAGATGAAGTCGAACACCACATTTGTCTTGCTAGAACCTTTCAACAAATATGTGTACTTTCCCGCCTTCGGCGACACCACCAATTGCCAGATTCCTGGTGTTGGGTTCTTTACATCAAATATTGTCACTTTGGACAGCACGCTCTTCCCAGAGGTGACAAAACTTCCCAGGGGATCTTTTAGGTTGATATCTGCACCACTGTTCTCACTGGAAACCGAAACAATAATTTTCTCCATGGTGTCATCCACGAGCAATATGTGTACAGAAGGGGAAGCACTTCGCTTCTTTCTGAAGAAACTTCCAAGACCTCCAGCACAGGTTGTACCACCAAGAAGATCTTTGGCTACTTTCTTCATCCTGGCGATATCAGCGCGATTCTTAGGCAGCGAAAAAACTTGACCACAAGTGTCCCTTGCAAGGTCCTCAAATGGCTTGACAGACGATGGGTCACCACAGCGTCGATCTCTTGTTGCAAAAAAGTAGACATTTATACCCGCTAGTTTCGCATGGTTTCTCGCCACCTCGATGTTCTCTGATGTGGCATCTTTAGGTGGTGCATCAGTGAAAATGTACAGGGGAGAGTCATTTTCAGGGCCAGCATTCAAGGCTTCGATAATTCCTTTAAAGGCCATCTCAGGGCAGTCACCTCCACCATGTGCACGAAGTTCGTTAATTTTTGCAATAAACTCTTTCCCGCTTTCATTTCCAGCGCTCTTTCTAAAAACCTTCCCTTTTTCTGAAGATTTTAAGACATAGTATTGAAATTTCAGTCACATTCAGTAGTCTAAAATTGGCTCGCATTTTATAATAAATGTTTTTCTCCAAAATCCCTACAATTTCGCTGTTACTATAGAAAAGTTACCATCAGAATCATTCAAAAGGAAAAATGCAGTATATTCTTGTGGTTGAAGTCGAATGATTCCATGACGCAAATGGCCTTAACTGTGAAGAACAGCTCCTTCAAAAATGTGTTGGTCAACTGCTGACCGAAAAGTCTGCATTCTCAAGAGTTCACTAGAAAGAACTTGATCTTGATTTCCAAAACCAGCAAAGCAGAGGGTCGGGTTATTGGGGGGAGCAGTTTTAAGTAACTTGGTGTTACCAAAAGTAGTAAAAAAGTGTGGCAAATTTACATACAAGTATCCACTTATAATTAACACACAGCCTCCATACCTGGATCATTGAAAGGTGACAAGATGTAATCCACTTCTAAATTTGGTCTCGGGATGTTAACAATGTGTGAAGCGATGTCCTTTGCTGCTTGAATTTCATCAGACATACTCCCTGTGTCATCAATAGCAAACATCAGCGTAGTTCTATCCAAGTTCTTTGTCCCAACAAACTTCTGAAACTTTTCTTTGCCGATCTCCCTTTCAATCATTTTCATGAACTTTTTCATTGCATCTCTACACAAGCTACAGCGCTTCTTACGAGGCTTCTTTTTCTCTATCTCCCTGGCGGTGTAAAGCGCATGCCCAAGAGACTGGCGGATGAAAGATTGATCGTTGCTCTGATTGGCAGCTAGTTTGATGATCTTTTCAATCTTCTTCAGTCTGGCTGGTGATTGTACATAAAATGACTCAAGAGCCTGGCTTTCATACACTGATTTTTCGACTTCGTCTACGGTTTTCAGGAAACTGTTCGACGGGGACGCACTTTCGGCAGAAGCTTTAATGAACAGAATAAAACAACAAAAAGTTAAGGTGGCTCGATACAGTTTTTCAGGGTCAATACCTTGAGCATAAACTACGTAGCCATAAACAAAGCAAAGATTTGGAAAAATTGCCACCACAGTTGTATTAGATAAAGATGAAAATTTGTTATTATCAGGGTTGCAATGACATCGGAGTTGTCATAGCAACAAAATGACGCCATTACCCATTTTACTTGCCGCAGTATTTCTCGACACTGGGAACTGTTCTTCCAAAATCGTTCAAGAGAGCCCTTTCTTCCAATAGCTGCCTCGATGTTCGTGAAGTTTATCTGTAATCTGTCTCTGCAGTCTTGTTAGCTGTTTTGTAAACATTTCGGTCAACTTTAAGAAATTAGCGAATAATTTTTAAACCGCTCGATAGATTTTTTAAAAAAATTGAGATTCTCAAGATTAGACGTCGTTTTAGGAGACCTTTGAGTCTCCAGATTATTGCTAAATTGTAAGGCAGTAAATTAAGGGGTACAATTCGCTAATTTTTTATCGGAAGTTTCGTGTTTACAAGTGAAAGCCTCTCATTATTCCGCTTACTGTCTCAAAGTTTTATTTTCACGTAAACAGCAGTAACTAACAATGCATTTGAAATATGCAAAAATGCTAGCTATTGTTTTGCACGAAAATATGAAACTTGGAGACAATATTCCTGAATAATGAAAGGCTCTCACTTGAAAACAAAAAATTTCTGACAAAGCATTAGCGAATTGTAGCCGTTAGTTTACTGCCATACAATATATCAATAATCTTGAAACTAAAAGCTTATATTAAAGGACGGTTTATCTTGAGAATCTTAAAATTTTAAAAAAATATATCAAGCGGTTTAAATATTATTCGCTAATTTGTTAAAGTAGGCCGAAATGTTTACAAAACCGCTTACAAGAGCGCCTCGTTACATACTAATCAAATCCTTCTTTCTAGCAATCAGCTGGATCTATCTCCATGATCTTTCACACACGTTTTTAAAAAGATTTAAACTCTTATGAGGTGAAATTGCATGTCAAAAGCACTTCGTTTTCAACAGATAACAGCCAAACATCAAGATCTTCCAATTTTTACCGCATTTCTAGCCATAAAAACTTTATCCCAAAATATCTCCATAACGCTCTTACAGATTTCGCTTAAACTTCACGAACATCAAGGTGGTTGTTGCAAGAAAAGTCTCCCGTGAACGATTTTGGAAGAACAGTTCCCAGTGTCGAGAAATACTGCTGCAAGTAAAATAGGTAATGGCGTCATTTCGTTGCTATGACAACTACGATGTCATTGCAACTCTGATCATAACAAAGTTTCGTCTTTATCTAATACAATTGTGGTAGCAATTTTTCCAAATCTTTGTTTATGGCGACGTAGTTTATGCGCAAACTTGGGAGGTATTGACCCTGAAAAACTGTATCGAGCCACCTTAACCAAAATTAGCGGGTGTGGTTACTCTAGGGCTTTCCACAAGTTGCTCGAGATTTTCTAAAACCTTTCCCGTAATATCTCAAAAGGTTACTCAAAAGTTGCAGTCAAGAAACGATAAAAAAGTTGCTTTATGTAACGAGAGTTGCTCGAAAGTTGCTTGAAAAAACAAAAAAACTGTTTTTGGTCTGATGCTAAAAAATGCAAACTGCAAATTGTAAAACTTACAAAAGTAAGATTTCTAACCTTTTTTTGTAATTTTACGGCGTAACCAGCGTTGCTAAATACCTTTGTCCTCAATTAAAACCAAAAAATGTAATGAGCTAATAAAATTGTTGAATGACTCTCCTCACCCGAGACACTCGAGTCAGTCGAATCTTCGTTTACCATTTTGAATTTTCTCTAAAAACCGCTGACCTACCAGCCCAGCTACGTTTATCCTGCGTCCATGATCTGCCCCAGGGGGGGAGGATTTGGCTCCTTTTTTACAGGAAATGCATAAATTGTCTACTAACACATTGTGAAATATGAAGGAAAGCAACCTAGAGAACCTGGGAACGAGGTTGGAAGGAAAGGCTCCAATTTAAGCACTAAAAGCTGCTCCGATATCTCGTACTTAAATGATAACTAGAGAAATTGATCAGAATGCAAAAAGTTGCTCGAAATACAAGAAGTTGCCAAAAAGTTGCCGAGCAACTTGTGGAAAGCCCTAGGTTACTCTATTGCCTCACTAGAGTCGGTAAGTAGTATCAGTCCCAGATGACTGGACGGGGTTATTCAAAATGGCGGACTCACAGCAAGGGGGTAAACCGGGATGGGTTTAGGGGAAAAACCTGTTTTGGGGCGTAAAAGACTGGTTTGGGGGGTAATGAGATGCAGGGCATGCAGGTACATGAGAGAAAAGATAATAATGCTGGAAACAATGAGTGAAAAGGGCGCTATGAAACGAACACCCTTCTCAGTTTTTAACGACTCAATCCATGGTCACACAATTTGTATATGGAGGCTTTCTATCGAACAGCAGTAAAATGTTTTAATTTAAAGAGACGTTTTTTTATAAGTTATTAGCAAAGTTCCTGGTGAAAAAAAGGTTTGGTGAGGTGTTGTACGACTTTCACCTGGATCGGATTTGGCATTTTAACGGTGCATATGATAATTTCCGTTTGAGGGATGTGCATTGCTTTGAAGGACATGAATTATCAAGGGCATTGATCAAAAAATAAGAAATCTGATAAACTATCAATTTTCCGAAACCTGTTGACACATTTACAAACACATCCTTGTTGTCCACCATAATTGCTCGAATTGCTTGTCGCTGATGATCATTTGCCTTTGAAATTTTGAATGGGCTGTTTTTCGTAAAAAGGGAGTGGCCTAAAGCTCTATTTTTGGCTCACTTCTGTTCCTTATTTACAAAAACGAATTACTAAGATTCTTCGCTTAGAATATAGGAAAGGTTATTTGCTAAAATTATAATACAAATACATCGTTTTCTGTTACTCATTTATTGGTTCTTCACACTGAAATAACCAAAGACCTCCACAGAATATTTACTTGGCTCTGCTAAAATAAACGGACAATAACAAATCAAAACTACTTAGTCTTATAGTCATCGGTTCACGACAGAGTTTCGACATAAGAGGCAACTATTTAATCTCATGTATTCCCTTTTGGTAGAATGGAACAACATGGAAAAGAGGGAAAACTGCTTAGTGTCTTGTCCCTAGTATTGACAAATTTCTGACTTCGAGCACTCACTTCTGCAGGGTTTTAGACAAAAAGCAACAAGTGGCATTGAAATTGTTAAAAGGATGAAGCCATTTGTAATGATAAAAACTAATATAAGCGCATATAGATCAATATTAGAGTTTGTTTTTTACCGTATTTTCTCGAATAAGCGTCCACGCTCTAATAAGCGCCCTTCCCCAAATAAGCTTCCACCCCCTAGGCCATTATATCAAACAAGCGTCCCTCTAGAATAATCGCCTTCCTCCCCTCCCCCCTCACAGATCTTGAACCAAACTCTAATTAATTAATTAATAGTATAACTAATATTGTAATAGTATATACTACATAATTTTGTTTTTAAGTAGGTTAAGTATGATCGTCCGGGTGAACGTAGGCCTGAATGGGACTGTTGTTGTTGACAGTGACTGACGTTTCGACAACCTGTGGGGCAGCCATCTTGGGATTCAAACGTCAGTTGATAGTATTAAACCAGAGCTTAATACCATCAAATGAAATCTGAAATAAGTGCTGAGAGCTTATTCGAGGAAATACGGTATTAAAATTCAGATATATCGCGTACTCTGATTGGTTGAAAATCCGTGCTTATGAGAGTTTAGATCACGGAGCTAAAAGTTTGTTATGAAAATTAGAAAGTAATGCGTGAGGAATTTGATGGATTTTTTTTGTCATAAAACAAATAAAAAAGCCTTGACTTTACCTTGTTGTGTTTCAAAGCACTTGGGAGGAAGCGGCAAGAGCACTTAAGAACTAGGGAGAAACACTCGACTACATCTCGTGTTTCGCCCTACACTTCTTTCGTACTCTAGCCGCTTCCTACAAAGTGCTTTGCAACACAACAGAGCACAGTCAAGGTTTCTTTATTTGTTTTATATAGTCTGGGATAGTATAGGTAAAACCGTCGGGAGTCGCAGAAGAATAAGGGCATACAAAGTAACTGTTACAGTATCTTATCATGGTTAAAGAGAAAGTGCATTCATTTCGAAACTTGCAGTTACACATACCACCACCCTGATTGACCTAAACTGATCCATTGGTCAAGTTAATAAAAGGACGAATGTACACTGTGCATGCAGTGCCTATAATGCAAGAGCAGCCCGGCTTTTAAGGGGGAAGTCTGGTTAAAAGCATTATTCTTCGTTGATTTCCACCCTTTTTCTTAAATATCTAGCCAAGATTTCATTCAATCAAAAAATGACGCAATTAAGTTGCTGTCCTTAATTCAATAATTATTTGAGAACTTTTCGATGATTTTTCAAATTTTTTTAATGTATAAAAATTAGGGGGGAGATGTTTAAAAGTTTGGAAAAATGGAAAAACAATGGATTTGGGGGTTGTGAAAAATTGAGATATGCGAAGTGAATAATTGGTAGACAATTACGAATTACCAGCTCCCTCAGTAACGTCGTTACTGAGGGAGTAAAAACGACTTGTAGTAATCGTTTGAAATTCAGGCTACTGGTCAGCTA